AAGGCAGTGCTGGATTTATGGCGGTGGCGTCATTGTTGGCAATATTTAGAGGCAACATTTAACCTGGCAAAATTGGATCCAATCGAAAAATCCGACCCAACTCATTTGTTATGGGTTGAATTATGAGTCCTATGTGTTAATCTGAAATTTGAAATAACCTGAATTGAAATTATTCGAACCCAAATGAGTTGGATCACTAGTGGCTCGAGTCACCCAAAATGACTCGAACTAATTTTTTTTTTTTTTTGAAAAGCCAAAGAAAACAATTTTATTTAAAGAGTATAAAGGGTACTCAACCCATAGACATAAGAAAGGGATTTGTAAGTGAACTAATGCCAACAAATTAGAAATTCTTACAGTGTTTTGTTATAAAGCACTTGCTTGGTTTTGGCACCAGTCAAGGAAGGAATAAGGCCAGCCTTCAGAGTTTCCACTTATCCAAAGGTAGAATTGATTTTGTATCATTTTGAGCACAGAATCTATAGTCATTTTGTCTACACCAAAAATTGCAGTGTTCTTAGCTAACCAAAATGACCACAACTTTTTTTTATTCATTTTATATTAAATTATTTAAAAATTAATTTTAAATTTCTAAATTCCTAATCCTAAAAGTAAAAATGAATAAAATACTCAAACCCTAATCTCTCATCAATTTCACTTTCTCTCAACTTTTTCTCTTCTCTACTCTCGCTCTCCCTTTTTTCATCTCAAGCTCTCTAATCCTTCTCTTCGGTGGCACTCATGTAAAAAATTAAATTAGGTGGTACATAGTGAGTTATGTTATATGATATCGTAAAAAAGATCATTTTTTAAAAATAAAAAGCAAGAATGCCTACTGAAAATTAAAACTCAGTGGTTAAGGTACCCTCATAACCATTAGAAGTACAAAGACAAGAACATCAAAAACATCAAAGTCCGTTCTTAGTTGCTAATTTATTCTTAATTAATAAAAATTAATTCCAATCTAATTTCTTCTTGTATTTAGTTAGACATATTTTGGATTTGCCTTTTAAATTTTAATATTAAATAAGGCTATATTTTTTTTTTGTATAATACCCTCCTAAATATTGAATAGAGTTGTATTTTTTGTATAATACTCTTATAAATATTGAATAGGCACTATATATTAATATATATATATTAGATTTATCTTTTGAACTCTAATCCTCCATGTCTTTTCTTTTAATGAAGATTAATACCTTTATGAAATTATAAATTCTAAATATTGTATAAGTATTATATATTTGACATATATTTTAGTTCCTCTTATATAATCAATAATCTTTTTCTTTTCTTTTCTTGATATTGGAAAAAAATTGAATTATGAAATGGAAATTAACATTTAATAAGTTTTCTAACTAAATAGTTAATTAGTAATAAAGTTTTTTAACTAAATAGTTAATTAGTATTAGATTTTGTTAAAGAAAAATAGAGAAAAATATAAGAAAAATTTTAATTTTAATTTTAATTTTTTAAAAGTTAGGTCCACCTAATCCAATTCGAGATCCGTGTGGGTGAATTATGGGTCAACCTCTTTAACTCGACAACCAAAATTACCCAATCCGAACAACTCGAGATCTGAGATGACATAATCGGAACCCACCCACTCAGACTTGTTTGCTAGGTCTACCTTGGAGGCAATATTTAGAGGGACATGAAAGGGAATTTAATTCTAAATTGTCCTTTACCTTCTTTGAAAGAAATACTAAAACATTAGTTGCTATGTAAAAATGTTTAAATAGAAGAAGTTTTTTCTCTTTTGCTATACCAAATTTTTAATCAATTCTAATGTTTTAATTGAAGAGGATATCAAATATTATGATGAATTTCTTATTTAAAAAACTATAAATATTTAAGTAATCACATGAATTGACTATTGAAAACCTACCTTACTAATGAATATGGTTGAAAATCATTCTAGATGCTAATTTGTTCCTTCATTTTTCATAGTGAAATTCTTCTATGATAAATCCACATTGGTAAAAATTGAATATTGTATGATAATGTAAAAAAAGAATAGAAAATGGCAAACGCAAAGACAAATTGATTAGTGGGGGTCATTATTCCTTGTTTTATCCAATTTGTTTATTTTGAGACAATTTAAATAATGCTTTGGAAGACCAAAATTATTAACACTATTTTTATTAAATTTATATAATAATTAAAAGAAAATTTAATTTAATGGGAAAAATTCAAATTTGAATGTATAATATTTTAATTTATCCAAATAATATATATAAAAATATATGTATTTAAAATACACACTTTAAATACATGTCCGCAAACGTTACCTTGATACTTTTTAAGGTGAACTTGCAGTAATTTTTGAAAATGTTCTCCCTACCAATTTACCAAAGACAGTTTTTAAAAATTATTATGGCTGCAGAAAAAGAGAACTGTATAAAGTAATCCCAAATGCAATATAGAAGTAATACTGTTTCAACGTCAATTTTTTTTTTTTAGCACATGGATAAATAAAAAATACTGAAGAAAAGTTGCATACATGAAATAGTATAGTATGCAAAACATATATATATATACACACACACAAAAAAGAAAACACAAATTATAAGTAAACACACTTAATCTTATCCATTAATTTTAATTATTTACTACATCACTAAAAATTTCTTGCTCTTTATTTCTTTCTTTAAAGTTAATATAAGGGTTTTTCTAAAGACAAAAGTTGAAGGCTAAAGGTATATTAATTGCATAGTTTTCTTAATAATTATTATAGGAAAAAAAGAAGAAGAAAGATTGTATTTTTTTAATTTTTTTAACAAGCCAATTAAAATTGTAAACATATTAATAGTGTTGAAAATGAAGTAGATTTTGTGATTTCTTATATAAATTAATGAAAAAAATGTATAATCAATGTACTTTTAATCTATGTCTTAAATCAGTGGTGGAACCAAGATTTCTCCTTAGGTAGGGCCTTCCTATTTTACCTCCACTTAATATACCATAGTTACATAGAATGAATAAAGTAGATAAATAAAATTGTAACACAAATGGAAGAGCAAGGATTAGACAAAAAAAAAAAAACAATTACAAGTCCAATTGAAGAATTAATGTTGGCTATTCCATTTTAATAGATTAAAATATCAAAAATGTTATAGTTACAATACCATCTGATATTATAAATTTATAATATTATATATTATTATATAATTAACT